ACAAACTCTTTACACATAAGTTTGAAACAATCGTTTGGGGGTCTGAAACAAACAAAACTCTTCGGGAAAAGGTTTGTTTCTACTCCCCCGAAACTTCTGTAAAGTTAGTTTGTTTCGAGTTTCTCATGGAAAACAAACTTTGTGCTGGAGTTAGTTTTTGGCAGTTCAAACTACGGTTTGCACAGGACGAGAGAGCAGTCAAGCTAGCGCGGGCTCTGGAAAAGTTTATTTCTCGTTAAGAAACTAAAGTATGCCCCTGCGGCTAGTGTTCTCTTGGGGCCCTGACAACCATAGGATATAAGCTTGCACCACAGTATATGCCCTTGTTCAAGTGGTATATGGTTGACATCAAAGAACAGCAGGATCTATACCATCCCGAGGAGGGTTTTCTTTTCCGGAGAGAAGGTTGACATAGTGGTTGACATGTGTAGGAGGCGTCAGCAAACCAGCGTGAGCATGAGCAAACCAATCTTCAGCTTCACTTTCCTAAGTTGCCCGGATAAGACACTTTGCCTTTTCAAGGTTCCGGGCTTGGAAATGGACCGGAAAGGTCAAAGGGGCGGCTTTGGACAGGTGAGAACTTGCATCAAACGAAATAGGCACATGCTGTCGCATGCTGTTTGGATGCTTCCTCTGGGATACCACAAAAAGGGTATAACATACGGGCGCGTGTTTTCAAGCGTGGCCTCCGGCTGGGCAGAGAGCAGAAACCAAGAGGAAACCTCTCAACTGTTGGATCTCCATAGTTCGACACATGCCCACACTTATGAGGTATGTGATAGTCTTTTTCGGGCTCGCGCCGCGGTCAATATGTATTGTGTTTGTTGGTAATTTCAGAGGAGTACTATTCCAGGCTTTTTGGTGCAAACTTTTGCCCATCCGTAGCATGGGAATTTGGTGAGTACCCCTCCATTTCCAAAAGTTGGCGAGTGTACACCATGGTATCCCCATTTGTCACCTGGATGGGTGACACCCCCCCCCTGCCTGCAAACAATGCAAAAACGGTTTGCTGTCCACCAGGAGCCTCTAGCTACCAACCTACGGTGATTTTGCAAAGGTACGACAGATTTACAGGTGTTTGCAGGAGAGGCCAATGCCCTGAGTGGTGGTAATTTACCGTAAAACGTGCTTTTTTGTAAGGGTATCTGTTTTGAAGTCCTGGGTAGTACATTAGAAACCAAGCATTTGCCAAACAAGTCAAAATCGAAAGATCCAACCAGCTAGCCGCGTCATTGATAAAAGTAGCTGCTTGGTGCATGCAACCTGACGTTTGCTCGTGTGCTCGTTGTCTTGCGAGAAAGTAGACAACCCGTGCTCATTTGCTCCTCCAAAACAAGACATCATTCCCCAAAAGTCAAGGATCGAAGAACCAAGCCATGCCACCATCTCACTTCCGATTTTTGCTGATTGGCAAGCAAGAGTCCAAGCATTTTGGTTACCAAGAAAGAATCGCACAAGCCCAAAAAGTTGAAAGTCCAGGAACTCAGGGAGTGAGCCAAAAAGGAGAAGGTCTAAACTTTCTTGAGTCAAAATTGCTCAAACTCCCCAAAACATGCAAGTCCAGCTCAGGGAGTGAGCCAGGGCAGAAGGGCAGAACGTAGATTATTCCATGACGACCGCCTTTTTTCTATGGGTTGATTCCTTGTCCATTCTTTTCAGTCATTGTTCTTTTCAACAACCAGCCATTTTCGCGGGTTTTTTGGTGCTTTTCTAGAAAGATTCGGATCCCTGGGTTCAGAATGGAAACGGAAGTTATCTTTGCCTCTCGCGCAGACTTTCCGCTGAAGCCGGAAAAATATTTCAGGAGCTGACCTGGAAAGAATGGAAATGGAAGCTACCCCTAGATTTATCTGTCTCTCGCGCAACACTTTCCGCCGGGAAAATCTCTCAGCTGAGGCGCGTCGCGGAAGACCGAGCTGTGAGCCGCAAAGGTGGTGCCCAAAGTCTCCCCGAAGATGTCCGAGCGCAGCACCACGCGCGCCTGGAGGTCATCGCCACCAGCACCTGATGGAAGCGTGACATGGTGGACTTTGGAAGGGGAGCAAACAGTTTTCCCCCGATTTTAGCGGTGTTCAGTGGATTTGGAGTTCAACCAAACCACAATAATTGTTCCAAAAATGCAAAAAGTTGCCGAGCAACGACCATGGTGAAACCACGGGTTGTGGAAGCAAACGGGGTGCCCAAGGGGGGATTTACTGCGCTTGCCCAAGGCGATACTACCCCCGGACCGCTCATCGACACATCCGGGCCGGCGGGCCACGGATTGGCACCAGTCTCACTTGCCCAAGCCCAGAAGTACGAGGTGATCAGCTTGTTGGGGGCCTTTTGGGGCCATGAGAAAAAAAGACCAAAGGGGCAACCAAGTTGGCCTTGGGAAAGTGAGATATTGCTTTAGAGCCAGTAACTGCTGAAACTAAAAAGGAGAAACCAAAAGGTCGAAAGGTCGATTCGCTCTGGGCAACTGAGCATTTGCTAGCCAGATGCCATTGAACAAACTTGGATAGGGCTCATACCGGGGCTAGCCTCATATCTCCAGCGCAAATGCCCGGCCTAGCCCAAAAACTGCCCAGGGAAGCTATGGCCGTTATCCAAATAGCTCTGAAGAAAACAATTTGGTTGTCGTTGGAAGGGGGGCAACAATTTATTTATTAGCAGTGAAGTGGGGATTTCAACCACTAAACCACAATAAGCAAAAGTGCAAAATGCTTCCCAACAACAACCGTGATAGGCACAAACCAAAACCCATGGCCTTGCAAATCTGCACTCGGCCATGGCACGGTTTTTCATCTGGTCGTACGCTTCCAGAAAGCGGTCCTGCCAGTCCTGAAGGGGGGACTGAAGTCCCCTCCACTCCAAGTAGCAGCGGCCCGAGCCCATTTTCCGTGGACTTGGCTTCGGTTTAAAGCCGCCTGGACAACAACAACTATGTCCAGTAGTGATAGGTCCCGTTTTAAACCAATGGAAAAACCAGCATATTCTTAAGCAAATGGAAGGTTCTAAAATTGTTGTGGATCTCGTCGGCGATACTGTAACCAGCGGACCCGGAAGTAGAACTGCCTGGCCAAGGAGGGTTTTGGGCGCTCATTTGGGCATAGGGTCAAACAGGGGCCCGAAAATAGATCCAATTGTTGAGTTTCCGCAAAAGAAATGAAACTACCAGCCCCCCTCCTGCAGGCAACATCAAATGGGCCCAAAATTCCGACGAAGCTCTCATAGTTTCTCGGGTTGGATCTCAATTAGAATGTGATTAGAACTCTGATTCCCAAACATGCAACCGCGACAATCACTGGTTGGGTCCTGGCCGTTGCCGCTTTCCCAGTCATTTATGGCTACTTAACCCAAAGCAGGATTCATACAGCTTTGTGTCCAAAAACAGCTCTCCTTACGTTTTAAATTTACCCTCCTGTCCACCTTGCCATTGAACCCGCCAAGGGGTGCCTGTTGAAGGAACATCATCTTTCGGTCAGGTTCGACGCTCACACATTCAGCCTCTCTGCATGGAAACTGTTCGGTGAAAAATAACGGGGCACGCGGCTTACCCAGGGAACATCAACTCAAAAACGCCAATAAAAAAGCTAATTCGATTCTTCCCCCGCAAAGGGAACCCCCCCACTCACTTCAAAGTGGAAGTGATGCTTAAAGCCACGCCTTTTTCACTTCAAGCCTTAAAGCGAAGCGGAACCCTGTGACCGGGGGGTTCCAGCTGGTCCTTGTTGGGCAAGCCGCCGGCCTTGCTGATGTAGACCCGGCGCGTCACGACATCTCCTTAGGGCCTGGAAATATAAGGTTACCATCACTCTCACTAGCATAATTTAGTTCTATTACCCTATAGGCGCTCAAGTCCCTCAATTGGAACTCTAGGCATCCCTGTACAAAATCAACAGTTCATCTACAGATATCTTTTTCATCATGTCCCAAACTCAGTTCGCATGGCACCCGGGGAAATGGTACCAAGAGAAAACTGATCTTGCAAATGCCCTCCTACGGGTGCCATGACAGATCTTGCAACCTGCAGATTGGCACAGACTTCTCAGAACCTAAGCAACCACCGTTGGAAGAATCTCCATTGGACCCTTTTTGGGTGACCCATGACAATCTGCAGAGCCTCTTACACAAAATAAGAAAACGAAAGATCAAAAGGTCGATCTGCTTTGGGCAACTGAGTCTCGCTTCAGCACCAGTTGCAGCAACACGTTCGTGCCGCAGGTCTTTCCTCGAAATAAGGCATGGAATCAAAAGGAACACTTCGGGACCCCCCCCCAGAATCCGGGTGTTACGTGGGGGGTCAGAAACAACCCCCCCCCCAAACAAAAACATACTCATATCCGTTTGGCTGCCTGCTGAGGAACTTGACAGCTCTGCAAACTCCAGCTGGCACGAGAATCCAAAGGAGCATGTCAGGCATCACCCCCACGAAACTCTCGGGCTGTCATGCAGGCTACTTGAGGCAAAGGAGTGCGCCCGGAGTTCGAGACGTGGACAACTCTAAACTTTTTAAACTTTCGGACCCTGTTCCCAAGGACCAAAGTGATCATCTTTCGGAGACTTGACTAACTACGTACCAACTCGAAATATTCCGGAAGCGCTCGGAACTGCCCATGCATCCCCGGATGCGTTCCCTCGGAACCCCCGAGCGAGTTGGGGCGAAGATTTCGTGGCTTGTAGCTGCTGGGAAAACCCATTACAATGATTCCTATTCAAAGGTCGATTCGATTTGGACTTTCCTGGGGCTTTCCAGCATTCACCGTCGAGTTTTATTTTTGCAGCAAATCCTGGGACCGTGCCCCATGGCTACGCTGATGCCCCTACAATTAGCACCTGGCCACATGCTGCAAATGAGATACTCACAGCAAACTCCAGTTTGGCTCTGCAAACTTGGTTCACGTTGGAAGGGGAGCAAAAATGTAAATGTTAGCAGTTAAGTGGGGATTTCCACCGCCCAATCTGGCCGTGTCTGTTTTTAAAAGGGACCCCCCCCCCCCCCCACAAAAGACAGACAGACAGACACGGCCTTTCGCGCGAAACAACGCCAAAGCCAAACACCTGGCAGCATCCCTCGCAGCAGCTTACCCGCTGGAGTTCAGGCCAGGGAGATGGCTCCGCAAGCGTCATGGCCAACCCAAAGCAACAACGGCAACCGCGACAACAAACGAAAACGAAAACGACGAAACAACACCCGACAAGAAGTGGCCAAGGGCGAAGGCTCCAGCTGGAAACCTGCCAGGACAAACAAACGGCACAAGCTCAAGCAATGCCGGCATGCAAGCATGCATGCAGGCAGTGCAGGCATGCATGCAGTGCAGGCATGCAGGCGGTGCAGGCAATGCAGGCATGCATGCAGGCAATGCAGGCATGCATGCAGGCAATGCAGGCATGCATGCAGGTAGTGCAGGCATGCATGCAGTGCAGGCATGCACGCAGGCATGCATGCTGGAAGCGCATCCCGGAAGGGCAGGCATGCAGGTGATGCATGCATGCATGCAAGCACTCATGCAGTAAGGCCAAACAAGCATGCGTAGCTTTTGCGGACAAGATGTCAGTCAGTCAGGCTGGTTGGGCAAGTTGGACTTCCAGCAACCGACCTCTGCGCCGCTGGCGAACTCTGCCCTCTTCGAGGAGCCGGCGCAGCATGCGCCGCACTTGCGGATCAGGCAGGACCAAGGCGGTGCAATCTGCCCACGCTTGGCCCCGCAGCCGCCGGAGCAAGCAGCGGCGGGCACCGCGACTCGGCCCTCGCGGCGGCGCCTGCAGTGGCGCGCCGGCCCCAGGCCGCAGCTGGCCAGCCACTTCAGCCAGATGGGCAGCCAACGGCCCCTCCAATGTTGGCTGCGGCCTTGGTATCTGTTGGGAGGCTGCCTGCACCAGCTGCCACCAACAGTCCGGGCAAAAGGCGCCGGGCTCTTGCGGCCGCGGCCGGTATAGCAGGCTGCAGCCCCGGTTCCAGGCGCACCCTCCGCGATGGTGCAAGGTCATGCAGCAGCCCCTGCACAAGTCTCCGTGCAAAGACCGGCACCAGCGGCACGGCAAAGCATCCGCCAAGGCTATAGGGGGCAACTTGCAGCCGCCGCAGGTTTCGCAGAATCCAAGCCGTGGGTGGCCCAAGTGGCAGGAGCACGGGGGCAATGTCAATTGCATCCGAACTCCGTCCCAGGTCCTCCAACCTACGCCCCACTCCAAAGCCTCGCCGTTCAGCACTGGAAGGCCGTGGGGCTGCAGTAGGCGCAACGGATCAGCCGGCAATCTGCCAGGCACCTCTTGTCGCAAGCGGGCTAGGAGCACAGTCCGGGGAGCTACTTGCCACCGCAGTTCGCGTATGGTAGCTTGCCCATTCATGGTCAAGGCCCATCGGCCGAGCTCCGGCCCAAGCACGGGCCCTTCCGGCCGCTGCTGCACTTGCTGCTGCGCTTGTGGGAGCAGTTGCCAGCGCTTTGCTTGAATCCAGGAGTCGATGCGAGCGTGGTATTGCGCCGGGATCGCACGCAGCCCAAGCGCTAGCAGCGTGGTGCACGCAATGACAGGCTCCCACTGTCTGCGAGCGGCCCTGCGCCTGTCCTGCTCCCGTGACAGCACTTCCCAGCCTGTCGCAAGGAAGTGTGGCCGTCATCCACAGGTCGCTCTGCAAGATCAGGCTCTGCCAAGGACGGCGCGCAAGCCCGGCAGAGCGCATGCCCGAGGGACTTTGGTACAAGAGCACGGTAAGCCAACTCGTGGGGCCGTTCATCAAGGGTGCCCGCAGCGCTGTGCCCGCCATCATCGCGGCCCAGAAGTCTTTCCCGACCTTCCAAGCACACAGCCCAGCCCCAGGCAGAAAGAACAGGCCAGCGGTCTCTTGCCTGTGCGTTGGCAGCAGGCGCGTGAAGGCCCCATGTTGTCCTTGCTTGATCAAGCCACCAGTCTGTGCTGCAGAGAGAAGCAAAATATTGCTCTAAGGCATCCCGCAGCTCATCCGCCATTGGAGCCATGGCACTGCACGCCATGACGACATGCCGGGGCGTGCCTGCACCGTTCCGGCAGAGAGGGCACAAGCGAGGGTTGTCCGCTGCAGCCCGCGCAGTGGCCAGCTCTTGCAGCTCAGCGCTGGAATGCAGCTTCTCTGTCCAGCTACCGCCAATTGCACGGTGTAGCCGGTAAAGCATCGGTGCCAAGTCCACGGTTTCTGTGTCACGCTGGAGCTGCCACCGCGCCCACTCTGGCGGGATACGGCAAGCTTGGTACCAGCGCACGTCCATACTTGCTGGGTGCAAGTGGTCTGAGCATCGCGCTAATTTGCCCTGCACTATGCGGGAAGACCATTGCCTGCATGCCTCCTGTCGGAGCAGAGTCCGCAACGCTTCCAGCAAAGAGTCCACCTGTGGGCCAGCGCACCGAGGGTGGCAGTGGCGCAGCACGGGCTGCTCCACACTCAGCGTCCTGCACTACATTGCCTTGCACCACCACTGGGTGCGGAAACGCCCCCAGGCGCTGATGACTCTTGATGTTTACTCCGACCAGGCCATGCTTGCAGTAGTCAAGGCTACACTGCGTCTGGGGCTTCTCGTCAGCCATCCTCTGCACATTCCAAAGTTCAGGGCAAGCGCCAAGATGGGGTGTTGTCAGGCTCCTTCCAGCTTGCACGTACCTGTGACATAATGCGTCTCAGCCTGGCCTCAAAGGGGCCATGCCGCAGTGAGCGCGCAAATGCCTCTGGAGGATCGCTGCACCGGCGCAACGAAGCAAAAAGACTGCCACGGTCGACCACTAACATGTTCCATTGCCCATGCCGCCGCCACCGCATGGCACAAAGCATGGCCAAGAGCTCTGCTTCATGGATCCCAGGAGTAGCCCAGCCGTATTGAGCCGGCAGGCGGCCCGTCACAGGCGCATTAGTCACTGCCGATGTGCTCCAGTAAGTTGAGCCGTCGCCAAAGGAACGGGCTTGGGCGCTGAAGGTGGCTACGCCAGCAGCAAAACCCCCGTCCGAGTACAGGCTGCAGTCTCGCTCTCCACCCCACTCTGGCGCAAAGCAATCAAGCACTGCACTGCGAGGATCTGCAAGGGGAGACCATGGGTCATCCCATGCGCAGCCTGTCCAATCTTCTGGAGCTTCAGAGTCTGCCACACCGTGCAGTCGTGTCTCAACTTGCCAATCTTGCTGAGATTGCTGCATGGCTGCCGCAGCGGCAGCAGCCAGCCCAGCCGCCCCTATCTGCACGTGCGGCGCAGCTGCCTGCCAGGTAGCCGGGCTCGTCCATTCTCGGCTGCTAGCTCGCCGACTGCGCAAGTTGGCCAAGGTGGCGCGAACCGCATTTGCCAATGGTCCGACTCGGCAGTAGCGCAGCCCTTGACGAAAAGCTGTAGCATTGTACGGGCCGAGAAGCGGCTGGGATGGGTCGGCTGTAGCTGCTCGAAGGCAGTCGAGCATCCGTGAGCAGAAGCGGTCTGGGCCAACCGTGACATAGACGCCATACCCTGCCAAAAGGCGGAATGCGTCAGGCACCACGCCAGAGCAGTTCTCCACTTCATCAGGCGAGAGATTCAAGGCATGGCGCAAGGAGTCCCTTGCCACGGCTGAGGCCAGCGCGGAGCCACTGAGCAAGCTGATCAAGTCCGAGGCCGTCGCTGCCAGACAGCTTTCCACAACGGAAATCAGTTGCAAACCTCCTTGCTGCCTGGTAGCAAGGAGCCCCATTCTCTCCGCCGTACGGCGCACTCCCAGCCGTGCAAGGATGAGGCGCTGGAGAGCCGCATCTTCCTCATGCATTTGCGGTGGGCGCAGCATACCGATGAGCGGGGCATAGTTGATGTGGCCGCGCGCGCACCATTCGTAGAGCATGAGCACTTCATCCCACGCGCAGTGTCGCAGAGTGGCTCGCAGCCGCACATTTCTGAGCTTCTCGTGCAGGTCCTGCCTGGCTAGGGCGTGTTTGTCTAGCAAGGTCCCACGCTTTCCCAGCAACTTTTCAGCATCCCCAGCTTCAGACCGAGGTAGGATGGCATTGCAGACACCGCCTTGCCAGATGTCCCAGCCGGTCACTGCCAGCCCATCTGGAAGCAACCGTTCCGCACCTTCCGGTAAAAGGCGTGCCGCATCCCAATCACTGGCGTAGGCCCTGAACTTGTGCCACGAGAAGCCTATGCCTGTGGCGCAGCTTGCAGCGGCCAACTCGTCAGTGATATCAAGGAGGTCAGCAGCTCCCCGGCCATAATGCTCAGCGTCATCAGCGTACGCAGCTGCAGAAATTTCCCGCCCGTGCGAGGTGCCATAGCAAGCCTTGCTCTGCTCCCGCATGCGCATCACTGGTTCTTGCGCTGCTTTGGACAGCTCAGGGGATGACATGGAACCTTGGGGGATGCCGCGCGTGACTTGCAGGGGCCGAGTTGGCCCGTGTCGCGTAATGATGCGGACACGCAGGTCTTGGAATGCATCCTGGTACAAGCGGCGAGTGGAGTCAGCAAACCCTCTTGCCAGGAGCACTGCATCTACTTGCGCCAACTGGATTGTATTGAAATACTTTTCAAAATCAGCAGGAATGCGGCAAAAGCCTTGCCCGCTGTGGCGAACGTCCTCAGCCACCAGCGCATCTAAATACAGGACATCTGCAGCAGCAGCGGCCTTGCGGTCATACGCCTTGTTGGCGCTGCTGTAGACAGCGCCAGGCTCGGCCGCTGCCCTGAATTCCGCACTGCGTCTGGCCACGGGGCCCTCCACTGCCTTAAAGGCTTCCTCAAGCATCAGCAAGGGGCGCCAACCTCCGTGTGGCTTGGCGATGTTGACTTGATCTGCAAGCTTCAAGCAATCTGCAACCACTCCCGCATGTCGCTGCAGATCTAAAAATTCCCAATACAGCTCGACCACATCTTGTGGGAAAAGGCTCATGAAGGACAACTTCCACCCCGAGGGCCCAGGGCGGGACCACCTCATCTTGTTTTGAAGCGACTGTCGCTCTGCTAGAGTCGTGCAACCAGTGAAGTCTGGCAGCCGCCGCTCCGGTTGGAAAAGGAGCAATTGGAGAAGATCTCCTTCGTGAGCTTGGAATCGCTCCCACGTCCATGCTGCCACCGGCTGCCCGTTCACCGCTGCAATCAATCCCAAGGATGATGGAGTGGGACCGGGGGTGCGCAGCCACAGTGACCCATTGTCAGGGACAAGGAACATACTGTCCACCTGGACAGCCTCCATTATGACTTCTCTGACCCTGTACCAGCATATGCGCCATGGACCGTTGCAGAGATACGCTTGCTGGAGGGACGCGCTCGGAAGGTCCCGTGGGGCAGAGAGAAAGTGTGGAGCACCCCGACGGCGACCAATGGCATCTTGCCACTCTACCACTGACTCGTGGGACCAAGCCGAAGTAGGTTCCTGTAGCAAAGGCAGCCACGCTTGCTCAGCACCAGCAAGGGTCTCTTGAACCGTTTGCGGCGGTTGCCTGTCACCTGTCGCATTGACAAAGCAGTCGGGCATGTACGACTCAGATGGGGCAGCTGAAGGTCTGAGGCATCGCGCCCAGCTTTGCAAGTCCCCTCGCCGTAGGAGGTCTAACCTCTCCAGGTGCCCTTTGCGTGCCCCCAAGCGATTTACCAGGGATCTGCACCGCGCTGCTTCTGCAATCAAGCCATTCACTTGGAGAAGGCCAGCATGAGCAGAACCAGCCAGATCTAAGCTGAGACTAGGGGGAGCGCGAGCCTCAGCTGACTCTGGCACCCCAGGGGCAGGGCGGCCGCTATCTGGAAGTGGGAGCCCACGCTCCCGGTGCCACCCTGCAGTCGCAGAGTAAAATCCATCCCAGTCCCAGTTGGGTTGGGGCCGCGCGGCTTGCCCTGTTCTGGCTTGTAGTCGTTGTGACATTGCCACTCCCTTGTCCCACAACGGTTGCAGCCTGGCCACATCTGCCGACACAGAGGCAGGGACCCTTGCGCGTGTCCCAGGGGGCAGGCGTGCCCTTTGCTGTAGCTGCTGCTTGGCCCATCTCAATTTACGCAAGCATTCTTCCCATGCAAAAGTCGCACGCTTCTGGGCTGTGCTTTGGCCAGGCGCAGGCATCTTCGGGAGACATTGCGCAAGACTGTCTTGTAGCTCGTGGGTCGCCTGCTGGACCCCCCCCCCACAAAAAAAAACGAAAACATGAAGGTGCTCCTTAGGCCCCTTTAAAGACCCAGCAGCAAAAACTCCCCCGAACATGGCGTTCCTTTTGGCCCCGCTTTGAAGCACGACCAAAAACCACGCGCCCCGAAAAAACCAAGCTGCCACGCACCCACTTCCCCATGGGCCAAAGAAAGTCCAACTGTTCGTTTCCCACTAAATTGGTCCAAACCCCAAGAAGTGACCATCAAGTCCGAAACGGAGCTCGGGAAGAGAGCAACCCCCCTCCCCCACTCACCCACCCCCCATCCCTTGGTGCAGAGAGTCGGTCGGGGGACTGTCCGCGGATGTGCTTGGAGCAGTTTGGCGTCAAAGGAGGCGGCCACTCCGGCAGAAAGTCCAAGGCCATGTCCGTGGCCGCGCTCACGAAGCCCCGCCTCTCGGAAAAAAAGTGCTGGAGTTCTTTTTGCCGGGTGGCCGGCGGCGCGTGCGTTTCTGCTTCTTTGAGGAGAATCGGATCCCCCAAAATGCTTGGGGTTGCTTTGGGGTTCAGTGGGAATTTTGTAGCTACCCCCCTTGTTTGGGCCTTTTAAAGGAAAGCCAAAAGGGAAAGCACCAGTTTGTTCCGCTTTTTTGTGCGTCTGTTTTGTTGAGGAAGTTTGGACCGGGGACACCCAAATGCAGGGTCCCTCATTCCCTACTGAGACCAGCAACCTTTTGGGAATCGGACCAGGACCGCTTCTTTTGGGTTTTCCTTTCCACCAAAAAATGGGCACTTCCAACAAAAGGCCCCAGACATGTTTTCGAGTCAAAGTCGGTCCAGAAACCGGGCTCCTACTTGAAGGCATAGTTTCTTACAACCAACGGAAGTCTGATGGTTTGACAGCCTGTGGTGCAAGCTTGCAAACACTCACTGCTGAACTTCCAACACTTCAGCGTTCTCTCCAATAAATTTGAACGACCAGTTGTCCGATGCAAATGGACGACCCCTTGGTTGAACGCTTTCAGAAACCAATGTGTCAGGAAGTCTTGTGATGAGAAACACCAGCAATGCCAACCAGATCACATTCTTGTCACTCGACCTGCATCTAGGGCAGTGCCACGTTGGCCTTTGATGCAGTCCTTTCGGACTCTCGTGGCCGAGTTGAGTATAGGATATGCTCTGTCTTAGGAGAACCCGGGTAGCCTTGGCCTGATCCAAATCACTCCTTCAAAGGTGGCTTGCTTGCACTTGCCATAGCAAACTACAAACTACAAGCAACGAACTCCTCTAGTTTGAGTCACAATCAAAACCCAGTACACAAATGGTCAACCCAGAACCACGTAAAGAACTAAGAAGGCGACCGCAGCTATTTATGGCTGGGATCATCCCTTACTAACCTTTACTTCCCCGGGTTTTGACTGTGGCTCAATTTGAGAAGCACCCATTTCGAATACTTGCACGCATGCGCAGCTTCCGCCTCCTCTCAAGCAAGAGCCGGCACGGAAAGCTGGGTCTTTCCCTCGGTGCGTGGCTACGTCTTCCCCAACTTCCATCCATGTGGCGGTGTTTTCTTCTGAGGGCTTCATCTCGCGCTTTTGCCCAGGTGAGTCGCAATCAAAACCTGGTATTAAAATTGTGTACCCAAACAAATTTAAAGAACTACGAAGGCGGCCGCAACTAATCCTGGCTGGGACTTGCCGTTACTATCCTTCACTTACCCGGGTTTTGATTGTGGCTCATGTGACTTTGTTCATCACTCGTGCCCCAGGGGGATCTATCGATCCGGCCGCGATCGGCTTTCCACGATGCAGCTCATGAGGTTCATCTGCTTCTCCATGATGTCCTCTTCCCAGCCGACTCGATAGGCAGACCCCTCACACTCAAACTAGGGATGAGCTGAAGAATGTTCACAAACAAATAGGCAACAACAACGGCCAAAACAAGACACACACGACACACACCACAAACAAACAAACAAACAAACAAACAAACAAACAAACAAACAAACAAACAAACAAACACAAAACACGACTACCCCGGCTAACAGCCAAGTCCTGCAACTCTTTGGCCAGGCCCGTTGCGCGGTAGATGTCCTGCGGCCATGCGCGTGGATTGCTTTGAAACACGTGGAACACTCTCGAAGGAGGGCGGGGCGGGGGGGTAAAGGAAGGGATCTGCGCAAATTCAGAGATTCTGGGTCACCTTTCTGGCAAAGCACATCGAAGGGAGGGCTCGAGAAATTGTTAGGGATCCATTTCCGATTGAAATTTCTGTTGGCTTTCTGGCCAAACTAGGTTCCCGCCATCCTATTGTTTCCAACTCACTTCATCCAGTTTGTTTGCCACTAAAATGGTCCAAGCAAGTCACTCAGGGAGTGAGAAAAGCTTATGGTTGGTCCTCCTCTGGCACTAGCCCGACCCCGAAAGGTCGCGAGGTCGAGAGGCTACATGCCAGCTCAAACCTCAACATATCCTTCTTCATTGTTCAACCCCACCCGGGTCTAAATATGGGGGCGCCTATGGGGGTATCTTTTTGAGGGTGCCCTTTTCGGGGTTTGCAAGGAAGTCAACTGGAAAACCACCATTTGCGGGGTGGGGGGGGGGTTCACTATGTCCTATCGCATGGAGTTTGCCCTGAAAGCGGAGGACCCCTCTTAAATTTCACCCCCCTGGCCAGAAGTTGATTATTCCTGGATTTCCACAACGAAAACAATTGATCAAGCGGATTCAAACGAATCTGCGCAATTCCTAAGCCGGAAACAAGGAGCCTGCAGAAACCCCTAACAAAGGATGTTCATCTTGGGTGAGCCCTACTTCAACTCGTCATCATTTGGGTTGAGTGGAATGGATCTCTGGGGAGAGAACCCCGGGCCCCTTTAAATGGAGACCAAACAGAGATGGTATAAACAAGAGTAGCTTCGAAATGAGAAAAGGATGGTCTGCCACCCCTTGGCCCGCATGGTTGTGGAAAAGAATCGCTCCATGACTATATGATCACTTTAAAGGGGATTCCTTCCTGGGTGACTCGCAAACAGTGGCAACCGAAAGTTACGATTTCCCTACCCCCAACCCCCAATTCCAAAAATAAGAAGAGAACGCGCTTCGCATGTTTACAAGGACCAAAAATGGCAAGGAGGGCGGGGATGGCCCAATCATGACCTCCGTTTGCGGATATGCCCCCCTGGGAAAATAGCACCAGAATCCTGAAGACCAGGGCAAACCAAACAATACGCAAGGTGATAATGGTTGCCAAAAAAGGGGGAAACGAACAGGTACAACATAAACATATGATACATATGTCCAGTAGTGAAATAAGTTGCCTTTAAAGGCTACCGGGGAAAATCAAACATATTTTCTCCCTTCCTGAGTGGACTGGCAAAACAAAACAAAAAAAGACCAGCTTCACCACTAAAATGGTCCAAGCCCAAAAAAACAATTGCCTCAAGTCCGAAACGGGAGCTCAAGAAGAGAGCACCCCCCCTTGTTTCCAAACAAAAAGCAACAACCCCCCCCCTTCCACCGCCCCATTTTGGTGACTTCATTTCAGCACACGGAAAATTGATGCCCCGCAGGGCCCAGTGCAGGCATGAGGCTCCCCTTGCGCCCGTCTTTTTTTTGGGGGGGGTTTCGGGTCCTTCAAGAAGGGCACGGCCCCCCCCAGGCCGAAGGATCCCAAAGAGGTGGGCCGGCGAAAGATCTCCCAGCTGCTCTCGGCCCATCCGGCCTAACGAAAAAGGCCGAAAACCAGGAAAGACGTCCGGTAGAAAATTCTGGTCACTGAGGTCTTCTTCACTTCTTGGAGAAGAACCTCAAAAGTCGATTCCCTTTAAAACCAGCAGGGGACAACACAAACTATTCTTAGGCAAATGGAAGCATCCTGCAGAAATTCTGGTAGACACTGAGGTCGCCTTCACTTCCCCTCCATTTGCGTTTTTCGCCCTGGAAAAATGAGGACATATTTCCAGTAGTGAAATCGATTCCCCTTCAGTAGACAAATCCTGTGGTGTCAAATGGTAAGCAGAAGTTGGTACCTGTGGCAAGCACTACCCAGGACTACCAGACTGGGAGGGAAGTAGGGGGTCCAGTGTCCTGAAACTGAAACGTCCCCCATTTACGACCTCAGTGTCTACCAGACTTTCTACAGGAAGCTTCCGTTTGCTTAAAAATATTTGGTGTTGTCCCCTGCTGGCTTTGAAACGCCCACCCAAACCAGGACTTCTTGCATAGTTTCTTGTAGCTGAAACAGCCCAAGACCACAGGGTGCGCATCGAAGTCGTCATTTTCAAAACACTCCAAGTGGTGGTTCAGAGCGAAATAGCTCCGAACGTCTTTGGTTTTGCCTTCCCCAGCTGAACAAATGTTGGGCAAGCCGGGGTCTCTGCGCGGAGGTCTCCAAATTTCCAGGCGGTTCCGGGCTGTTGGGATAGCGCTTTTCTGTTCTTTCTTTTTTTTGGGGGCGGGCATAGCGTGTTCATGGGCATTTCCAGGTGGCTTGTTCAAAAATGTGGTTCTTACATCCTTATACCAGGCGATGCCACAGAAGGTTCATCGCATTTCGCAGAACCCACCAAAATGGATAACGGGTTACCAGTCACCAACCTCAAGTACTGGTAGAGGTAAAATTTGTGTTTTCCTGTCTTCCAAAGGATGGATTAAAGGTAATTTCCGCCACACCGACTGGCAACCAAGCAAAGCTGTGTCAAGTCCAGTATTCTTCCAGAAAAGGCGCAAACCCATCCCCCCTCACACGCCCTACCCCATCCCACCCCCGCCTTGTAGTTGCCAAAAAGGTTCAGGTTGGTGGACATGACCCGCTCTCTGATCCCCGGCGTGTGGTCAGGCACCAGCTTGGCCTAGCAAACCGCAGCAACTAACTGATGTATGGCTCCTCTATGGCTCTAAATCTGGGGTCAAGGCCTGAAGTATCGCAACATGCAAAGAGGAAACAAGGGGCAACACTTGACGGTCACGCTCAGGAAAACTCCCGCATTGATCATGGATTGAAAGGAAAGCCTTTGTTATTTGCAAGGGCACTCTCCACATGCCGCCAACCCCGGTGCCGCGCCTCTTCATTTCTTTTGCCAATATCATGCTGCTCAGGTGGCAGAATTTGCTCGAGTCAGAGCACCAGCGTTGCCAGCTCGCCAGCATCGCGATGAGAGTTTGGAGTTGCGTTTCGTTCTCGCGAAGAGCTTGTTGACCCTGCAGCTGCTCTCCAAACAAAAAGATCAGTAGTTCCTCATGCACTCAGCCCCCCTACTCCCAAATCAATTGTGTACCGTACCATCATGGCACCTTAATGGAACCAAAGACTGAAACCTGCGATTGGCCCCAGCTCCTTATTTTTGAGCCACGGATCCCAATGCCTCGCTTACCCCCACGCATCATTAGGAGCCCCCTTCCCAAACCAACTGTGTACCGCAACTCCCACCCTGAAACTCAACTAAGCCAAACAAAACAAGGCTTAAACAAAACCAAACAAAACCGAATTCCTCCCAAGCCAAACCAAACCAAATATCTGGCTGGCTCTTCGGCGCGTGGCCTTCCGCCTAACCCGCGCCTTGGCGAGGTTCAGGTCCAGTAGCTTCTGGGCGAAGTGGGAGGCGTCAAAGGGCCGGCCCAAGGCTTCCTGCCAGGTCATGTTCCGATTGGTGCAATTGGATGAGCCACTTCCCCAAAGAATTCGAAAAACATGACTATTGGATGTCGCTATAACCATGAATAATGGTGGTTATAGTATGTCGACGATGTTCTTCAATGATGGATAAAACCCAAGGAATTCTGGGAGTGAGAAAACCTTCTTGGTCAACTTTTAAAAAAAAAGCAGGGGAACACCCCTTTTGTGAAGTGTGTAAAGTCTGGGCTGTTCAAAATGGAGGCTTGGCCAATCCTAATCCATCCCTATAGGGAAGCCACTACAAAAAGGACCCCTTGCGTAACCGGTGGATGATAAGTAAGGATTATCGTTGAACAGCCCAGAAAGTGAAGAAAGTCCAGGAATGCAGGGAGTGAGAAAACCTTCTTGGTCAACTTTCCAGGGAAAAAGGGGAACCCCATAATGTGTGCGCCCTCAAAAAAGGCCCCTGAATCCCGATAGGGCTCGTAAAAGAACGAGCCTGGCAACCCTTGTTTGAAGAGATGACCTTTATGCGGTGGAGCTACAATGGTGATCCACACATGTGTAAATAAATCTATAAATATACTCACCAGGTGTCTCTATATACCCTAGGGTTCAGCCCCCATCAAAAGAAATGTTGACCCAACTTTCACGATGACAATCCACAGGTAAACAATGGTGGCTATATGAACTCCATTGTTTTAATGGTGGTTTGGGACCCGGGGCATATAAAAATATAACAAACAACCCCTATGTTTCCCAGAGGCTTAGTGGACGCCCCGTTTTTTCACCTAGTTCCCGGCTCTTTCGAAAGTGGCTTCGCAGCTCGATGAAGTGATGATGTGGCCGACCTTCCGCGGAAATATTGGGAGCTAGCCCTATGCACGGCGACATAACTTTTATAACATGATTTTTGGCGTAATCAATGATCGTGGGCTAGTGCAACTTGAACTTTTTATTTTTGGTGTGCTCATTCTCCGGCCATTGAAGCGTTTTGTCCCCAAGGAGAACTGACAAATAATATGATTGCCAACGCTTGGCACGTTGCGGCGAAACGCCTTCTTTTCGCAGCCGCCGAACCACGGCAACGTACAAGCTAACAAGAAAATAGCAAAGAGTAGTAAGGGATAGTCTGGTGTTGCCTTCTCTTATCACCCTGACAGTTCATCCGAGAGTTTCGCGATGTTGAGAACCACCCATCCATCTTGGGCTTCCATACCTCTCTTCCACAAGCCAACGGATGGCTTTCTACCTCTACTTGGGTGTTTTTCAAACCTTCCAGGTGGGTGGTTTCCTTTTGCTTTCCTTTGTTCCTTTTGGTGTCCTTGAAAAAGGGGTCCCCCACTTTGAGATACACCCATGTAATCTAGGCGAACAATATACGGTGCAGAATCAGGACCTGGACCACCACCGAACAAACCTCGCTGGATTTGCAACGACCGGTTTTTCTCTCAAAATGTGAAATGAACCCGGCAAATGGTTTTCCCCCAAACCAGCTGGAGAAACACCGAGTTGCTTTTCCCCATTTGTCCTCTCATAGCAAAAAGAAGGGGTCCCCGCATTCTCGCAATTCGCTGGCAGGTCCCAACTCAAGTGCGACTTTGCGGGTTGAACTAGGGGAAACTGACCTCCATTGCGACTACATCCTCTGGAAAAAACTAGCATATGACGACACCCGCTGCAAAAATGAGAGCAAACAATGAAACTCATATTTCCAGCAAACCAGATCCCCTTTGAAACCAAATGGACTTAACACCGACCTATTCCAAGCTCAGCTGGCCCCGGCCTCGGTGAGGTTCGCCGCGAAGCGCAAGCCCTCGAGACCCTGGACGCTGTTCAGCTGGAAGCATCCGTCCGGTCCCCTGACATCCGGCCCCCTTCCCACTTGCCCGCTATGGGCACCTCCCACACCTCTTGGTATGGCAGCAAAATGATTGACGGCGGCTTTTTGTGCCGCCTACTAGAAACGAGAACCAAGCAGCAAGAAGAACTAAGAACGAAAGAGAACCAAACAACCACAAAAAAAATCAAACACACATGCCAAGAACAGTAAAGTCAAGACCTGAGGCCACCACGGCTGGGGCAAGCGAAGCTAAAGCTCCCTGGGTCACAAGCGTTCAAAATCAGAAGTTGGTCAAGCTACTGGTAGCTTCCATTGCAATGATCGCGGCTTTTAGAGGTTCGTCAAAAGGGCAACTGGAGGCAAATCTGTGAGAACCATGAAGTTATGACCTATTGGCCTGACATGGGTTGAAGATCCTGCCCGGAGCTCTTGGCTCAACTCCGGGATGCACTAAAGGTAAGATTAGATGTTTCTGGTTCATGTTTGATTCACCTTAAAACATGTAGAAACATGTAGAAGGTGTGAGGGTTCATGTATAATGTCCTCATTCATGCAGGGCTGCCGAGTTAGCCATACTGGATTTTTTCTATGGCTTATGGTGAAACCCTGCCCAATCCCAACACCCATGCCATGGTAAAGAACGGCCCACCTAGTTTCTGACTGGGACTGCCCCTTGCTGCCTTGACGGACTCTTATGGCTCATACGTCAGATTCAACCATCAGCCCCAACGAAAAGAAATGTAACAAAGATCCAAGAACAAAGTATAGGACTTCGGCCTCAAATAAAATGTGTTGTCTCATAGGCTCAAGCCCTCTAAATCCCAAATGGGCTCTCTCAAGAAAAGGCCCCCCTATATTTCGAATGCTTGACCAGTAGGTGCCCCATCTCCAAACCACAACCTAGGTTAGGGTTCGGAGACCCAATCCCCAACGCTGCTGGGTTGGGGGGGTTTGGTTACAACACAAACCCTAACCCAGGTTGGGGCTTGGGTTGCGTGTCGTGAAGGGTTGGCGAGGGGGTACATTCGGAGACGAGGGGTAAACATGAAACAAGTGCTTGCAAATGATGAGCGCGAGATGAGGCTCATCAAATGAGGTAATCTTTCCGGCCTGCGGCCTCTAGCCGGCTACGCCTCTTTGAAGTTCTACTATGTCATGTCACGCTGTTTTGTTGTGAGAAACGTATCCTGTGCTATGATATGGCTGGTTAGGTTATGCATGTTGCCCACTCCAGCCCAGATGACGCCAGGGATGCCAGCTTTCTGGGCGCCAGCCGGGCCCCAACCCAGAAGGTTAATTCACATGGGATCGCGCGCGCGCGCGCCAGAGGCCCCCGAACGAGCAGCCCAAAAAGAAGGAAACGCAAACGCAACAAAACACCGCAAATAGCAGCGTTTTGTGGCTGGGGGCACGCCCACACGCGCGCCAGAAGGCCCGAAAAGCAACAGGAAAAAAGCAAGGACCGCGCAGCGCACGAGCCACCCACAACAAAAGAAAAACGGACCGAACAACAGCCCAACGCTCAGCATCGCAGTTTTTGATGGTATTTACTTCGGTACCTTCTAAAAAACAGTGCTTCATGGGTTGAGAGGCGGTTTGGAAGGAAGTCTCGATGATGCAGGCCAAGCCACGCTGAAGCATCACCCAAGCCCAACCCAACACCCTGATGATGTCAGCTACACGGCCTAAATTTTGCATATACGCGAGGGTTTCCCACAGGCAAGCAAAACCGCAAGCCCGAGCTGGTGATGCAGAGGTGCCGGATTTAGGCAACGCATCACGACAAAGTGACGAGGGTCGGCGGCACAGGGGTGCAGCTCCATTGCTAAAGCTAGCAAGCAAATTGCCTAGCGGCGACACGCTACCCCAGGACGCGTAGCAGGCAAGCACTCCTACCCACGTTGCCGCGGAACCTGACTCAGGAGTCCTGGAAGACCATGTTGCTTTAAAGGGGACTTGGTAAAGATTTCATGGTAACGTCGGCGCGAGGGTATTTAACTGGGGCTGATTCACTCAGCTAATTTGCAAGGCCATCTAAAGACGCAATGGAAATGGACTTGCACGCCAGAGCGCGGGAAGTGAGAACTAAAGGGACAACAAGATCTTCGGCCCATATTATCCAACCTGCGAAAACCAAACAAGCGTAGGTGGTCGCATATGCCCAAAACATGTCGCTTCTGGTTCGAAGATGTTCGAGCTCCGAATGCATTGCGCGCGGCACCCTGCTTGCAACATGCTGAAGTCTAGACCAAGTAGCAAAAAGGTGGTGAAGACAAGAGCGGAGTGTTGGCTGCGATGTCAACCACCATCGGGAAACGGGGAGGGCAAAGACAAAACATGAATCTTAGACCAACACTTAGCCTCTATCTCTGTGGAGGTTAAAACCGGCCAATAGTCATGTCACAAACCACGTCACTCTTCATGTAAGAATTCATGTAAACAAAAACAGGCCTTAAAGACACACGTAACAGATCATGTAAACAATGCGTGCCTCAGTGTTGGAAGCTGGAAGCTGCATCATTTGCCATGTAACAGGCCTGAACAAAGATAAAAGGCGCATAATCAGACAAGCCAATGGCAAAATTGGCAAGAAGAAGGTAAGGCTCCAACGCGCCCCTCCCATCTCCACAGCAAGCGCCCAAGGTGTTGATTGAATGATCTTTGTTAAATCCTTAGCAGCTACCATAGAAATGTTAGGAGGCGAAACATCTTAAATCTTAAACACGTGGTTGGTAAGCCTAAGCATGCGTGAGCAGAAGCAAGAGCCATTCCTGAGCATGCAGTTGCAATCTTCGGAATAGGTACGCTGCTCCAATGTCTCCGAACGGCTCAGAACGGTTCAGGGTATGATGCTGCAATCCCTCCTGAACGGTTCAGCACGGTTCAGGGCATGCTGCTCGCAATTCTTCCTGAACGGTTCAGAACGGTTCAGGGTATGCTGCTGCAATCCCTCCTGCTCGGTTCAGAACGGTTCACAATATGATGCTGCAATCCCTCCTGAACGGTTCAGAACGGTTCCTGGGAAGCTTGAGGGACGAACGGTTCAGAACGGTTCAGAACAGTTCTCAACTATACGCCTGCTCTGCGCGCTGCTTGCTAGACGGGCTCCAGAACGGTTCAGAACGGTTCAGGGGCATGGGTTGCCCCCGGAACGGCTCAGAACGGTTCAGGGGCACGCGTTTCAATGCCTCCGGAACGGTTCAGAACGGCTCAGGGGCATGCAGTTTTGTTGCCACCGTTCCTCGGAACGGTTCGTGAGCACGCGGCTGGCGGTTCCTAGTCCTAGGTCAAAGGTCAGGCCGGCATCGGAACATCGAAAGCGACCCGAAATCTCAAAGCACAAAAAGGCAAAGAGTTGTCTGAAATTTACGCGCAAACTTACGCACACATTTACGCAAAAAAAGGCTGGCTGAACCGTTCTGAACCGTTCAGGGGACACATTTTGAGCATGGAGGTCCGTCCGCAGAACTTGCGTGCACATGTGACAGCATCGATCGCTCCTCTTTTCCGGCCTTTTGCTCAACTGGATTTCTAGGATCGGTTCTTGGATTCCCTGGGTCTTGCGGACTAACGAGTCGAAGCCGCGGCAGAGAACAAGAAAAACAACAACGCCCGACAGCACCACAACGCGGCAAGCAAAGCTGCAAGAAGGCAAGGCTTAATCGTCCTTTGCAACTCCTGACTGGTTGGATCAGTGGCCACGCGGAGACAACCGCGTGAAGAGTCGTGCGCATGTGTGTTTGTGTGTGTGGGTGGTGTCTGTGTGTCTGTGCGCCAGGTGCATGTTAGGAATATAGACGTCCGTTCATCTTGAAGTTCTTCAAGATTGGCCCTCGCAAGGTCGCCCAACAATAAGCTGACTTTTACCTCACTATTTACCATATCATTTACGGACTCTTTCTATTAAGGGCCAGGCCAACCAGAAAGCTTGACTTATTTACGTGATTGTTTACGCTTTTATTTTCGGGTACGGCGAAAACGACAGACCCCCCTATTTATAGAGGCTAAGTTTTGGTTTAACATGAATCTGTTCAGCCAAGGCAAGACAGTCATTCCCGGGAAAGCAAAACAAACAAGGCCTTGTGTAGCTGACAAAAAGGGGAAACGCCTTCTGCGCTGTCATGTAACGTTCTGTTTCCTACTGAAAAGAGAGCCTGAAAATAATTAAGCACTGCCCTCCTTTCCACTAACATGGATCCCAACAGAATGTCCTAAGAGGAAAATCGTCTTCCCGGAGCCTTCAGTGAGGTTCCATGTGGACGGGGGGGGTGCCCATCTGCGAAAGAGCTGACAAATTCGGCCGACCTGTGCAAAAAGGAAGATGTTTGGGCGAGGCTTAAAACCCTGCCAAAAGATGTCTTGCGCTGGTTCCGGTGGAATTGCACAGCGTCAAAGACCATTCACGCTTGTCCAAATGCTTAGAATGAACAATGTGGGCCTTACTACAGCCCCGAGTACACAAGATAGTAGAGCCACTTACTAACATGGCCAGAAAGTTAACAGCAAAACGGTCAAAGTGCGGCCATGATGATAAATTCGAGCTCTGTGAGCGATCGGGACACGCGCCTTTCGTAGGACATCGGAGCCCCTTCCTTGTAGCTTACCACCAGCCTCGGCTCGCTGCCTCTCTTGATGGCAAGAACCCCCTGCCCAACAATCACGGGGCGTGGGGGGGCTCTTGTTGCGTTGGGCTACCCACCATGGCAGTTACAGGGAAATCGCATCATTCCGTTGAGTTTCTGAACGGTGGTGCGAAATGGGTTTGGTTGTCGGTCCCTGAAAAACCGGCTTTTTTAAGCTTTGGGGTCTCTGCCCAGCGTCTTTCAGGCTGAAATGCGGAGGGCTCTGATGGTCGCTTTTTGGCGGGCATAGGGCTCCCTTTTTTGAAGGACCGCCCCCCCCCCCACCCCAACCATGCGTGGTTGCCCTTTTTGTTTCCCTTCGAAACTACCTTCAAACAAGAGATATATATATATATACATATATATATATATATATATATTTAGCTTTCCCATGGCGTTTCAGCTCCTGTATCGCGCCGCCCGGAAGGCATCTCCTTCCCTTTTTCGTGCAGGCTCATGCCACAGAGACCCGAGAAGAAGGCCAACTTGAACTCGGTGAGATTCCCGGCCAGGCACTCCACAGCTTCTTTGCCGTACTTGTTCTCCAGGAGCCGGGCATAACGCCCGCCGCTGACCTGGGTTTAGGGTTTAGGGTTTAGAGTTTAGGGTTCCCTCCCCCGAACAAGTAAAAGGTCGATCACCCGCGTGCTTGCGCGATAGGTAGCGAATGACCCACTCCGGGTGTTGGGAATGAACCGCTTTGGGGTTCCCATGAAGAACACCACACGGGATTGTGTGTAGGGGTCATGCTCGTCCCCTGCTGAGAACCAGCAAGTTTTGTAGGGTTAATGGAGCACAATAATTTGTTTCCAAAAGGTTCAAAACTGGGCTGCCCTCAGATCCCCTGCTAAAAGTTTAACTTTTTCATGGGTGAAATGGAAACCCTCACTGAACACTAAAAGGCTAAAAAGCTAAGGGGATGGCTGGGAGCCGCCAAGAAAAGGGGGGCCTTTGGGGTGACACCAAAGACCAGCCATGAGACAGAGGCATTGTTGCCAGCTTGCATCATCACCGCGAACCGCTTCTTGTCCCATTCTCTGCAGACGGCTGCTCTTAGGCCAGAATGCATCATTTGAACTGCAAGCACCGCTGCGGATTCATCCCAGTAGCGTAGGTCCTCTTCATCTTCGCCATTCGCGGTTGGCAAACTGGTCACTATCTTTTCCAAGAGATCCGCCCTACTTCTATTGCAGGATGCGGGTATGAAGCTGGTGTCATTCAAGTAAAAATGCATGCCTTCCGTGTATGTAGAAGTAGCCAAAACCAAGGGGACACCAAATGAAAAGACTGAGTTGGCCGCGATGGGATCACTAAAGATATTCCATTCCGTGCCACGCGGCTTTCCAGTAAATGAGGTTGCATCAGAGCTGGTACCGGCTGAGTAGGGCCAAACTTTGTCTGTTGGGGTGCTGTCTCTTGCCACCACAATTCCCCCTGAGAAATAGATTCGGTTCACCTTGGCCCAGAAAAGCCGGGGGTGCTCTTGCAAGAAATGTGCCAAATTGGTCAATGGCCCCAACGCTATGACGTCCACCTTCTCCTTGCTGTTCAACAGCGTCTCAAAAAACAGCCGGTCGGTGTACATCCAGCTGGGGGGGCGTGGGTTGAAAGGCAAGCCGATGTGCTCACTCAAGAAGTTGCCAATGCCCGTTTGCAGAGCGGGGTCCGGCAAGCCGTTGGGCTCGTCCAAGTTCAACTGAGTGTCTGAATTGTAGCGGGGTGAGTATGCTACCGGAATGTCCACTTGCCCAAAGTACTGGGTTAGCCGCATGATGTTGGTCACACCTGCCCACTGCTGTGACCAACCGTCGCACGCCACTGTGATGGCTTTCACTTCAATGGACGGCTGCGCCAGAAGGTAGGCAATAGCCATCTGGTCGTCCGTGTCTACATCTGTGTCGATGATCACTGGCATCCCGCGTTCCTCGCGACCGCCAGCTCTGCTCTCGTCCTTCCTTTTGCCATAGCTAAACTGCTGCCTCAGCTGCCCAACGGACCTGGAAATACAGGGCTGACCTTTTGGGTGGGACCTTGACAAAATATGGTTCCAATTTTAAAAAACCAAACTTAAGCTTTTCGGACCTTGACTGAAAATGAGCCACAATCTGAAAACCAAACTTGGCCTTTTGGGACCCTACTAGCAATTTTTTTTCAAAGCCAACAGGTCAAAAACTCGATTCGCTTTGGACTGAGCGGCAGTAGCGCCACCGGTTCACTTGCAGCTGAGGGAACCGCGGCTAGGACCTTCAACATGCGAAGGAGAAACATTGAGCCAAATGCTGTTGAAGGCACAAATGGGCATTCGAACGATGCCCAAGATGGGCAAATTTGTGAAAACAAACGCCTGACGATAATGGCAGCTTTCGGCAACGCCTTGCCCAGCCTGTGTGGGAAGGCACTGGAACGGATATTATTTCGGCCCTGTGCTGGTATTCATTTTCAACATGGCAAAGATTGTGTCTCAAGAAAGTTGATTCATTGCACACATTAGCCATGACCAGCAAACGAACACAACCGGTGCAAAGTGACCACCTGAAACATACCACGAGACATCGTGAAGCAGCCCGTCTATAAGTCTGAGTTGTTGTGCCCTCTGGCACCGTGAGCATCTCACTTCCAAGCCCATGGTGGAAGCTCCTTTCGGCCTCGCGGCTGATCCGAACCTGGGATTCAGCCCCAACTACGCGACCGCGCAAAGGGCGTCTCCAATTTGCACACTGGACTTACACCGGCGGAAAGGGAAAAGATGGAAAAGGAAGGAAAAGGAAGGAAAGGCAACCAATGCAGAAAAGTTCAACATGTCACTCACTCAAGTCTGACAATGACAAGGTATTGGCGTTTCTGCCAATCGAATCGCTGATTTCCCCCTCCCTTTCAACGCCAGTCCGGCAATTTGAAAAGTTTTAGGACACCCCTCCCCATCTGCCAAAGCCTTGCATGAAACATTACCGCACCAAGAAAACTCACCTGCCCTCTGGTTCCTTCCTCATTGAGTTTGGGCCAGCGCTCGCTCATCCGCCAGGTCGATTCATCCGGTCCAGGGTAAGCATGGCTGATTGCTGTCATCCCCGCACCGGGCTCCACCGAGAACGCGATAGATGCAACACAAACACATGCAATGAAACACACCACACATTGCCCTCGAATTCCAGGGGTCACCAATTCCCCTTGTGGATTGGCCAACTATATGCCAAGGTTTCGGGTCTTTGTGCGTTTTTGTGTGTCACTTTTGAGACTGGCTCATCAACTTCCGAGCCTATGAGGTTTATTTGTTTTGTTTAAGCCATCCGTTTCACGGAAGGGGACCGCTCCCCAAGCGCGCGCGCTGGTGTCACCAGTGGCCAGATTGGTACGGAAAATGCCCATCGCAAAGCCACTCACGCGTGCTAAGAGTTCAGTTCTGCTGGTCTTCCCCAAAAGCTTAAAGTCCAGGAACTCAGGAATCGTCAAACGTCACCCCGCCGAAAGGAAACACACTTCCAAATGGTGTCTAAGCTACAGAGGAAGTAACCACAATAAATCTAACCCCAAAGGGGGCTAACCCCAGTTTCACTGGTCACCACCTCAGCTCGAACATCCAAGTTTCCCCTGCACTTCTAAAGCCCAACTGACAAAACGAAAGTCCTCCGGTTGGGGGGGGTCCCAAAAGTCTAGAGGGGCCAAGCTGCGTGGCACAGCCGCTTTCATCCCAATGTCGGCCGCTTCTCACCTGTCGGCCGGGTCTCGTGGCGCCTGGAAATCCTCAACTTGCTGGTTTAATAGCCGCGGAATGGCAAACGGCCTGCCTGAATCCCAACCGGTTCATTCCCAAACCGTGGGGCATTTCCTACTGAGCACCAGCATGTCAATGGAAGTGGGAGGGGGGGGACCCAGCGGTCGCTCGCTTCCTTCTAGCAGTTGAGTAACCAAAGTGCTAACCTTTCGTTGGGTCCTGGGAAAATGGTCGCCGTCCGGCCCACTGGCTTTTTGAAAGCCTGACAGTCCGCCAATTGAAGACCGGAGTTTTAAGACTGAGGTCGGTGGCTCACGGCAAGCGGAAGCCAACTTCGCAATTGTCCAACAGGGCGACCGAGCATAGGCACAATCCTTATGGGTGTGTCTGGAATCCGAACGGTTACCTTGCTGGGTTTGTTTTAAAGCAGAACCAAAAAGAAACCCCGCCATTTTGGTAGGTTCCTGCAAAGACGCCTTGTCATTTACGCATGTGAATCATTGGCTCGGCAGCTTCAAGCAGAGATGCGTTCACCAGAACCTGGTGGCCGCGAAAAGGCGTCCCTAAGCAAGTTGGCGGCACTTGTTGCTTCAGCAAGAGTCATCGAAACCATCGGAAGCATTCGACCGCCGGGAAAAATCGAAAAATCGCTTGGCTGAGGGTAGCGAGCATCCAATTGGTAGAGAAAGTGGCAACCTGAACCCAGTATCCCACAGCCATGCCGCACCCCCCCCCAAAAGGGAAAAACAAAAAACGGAAAAAATACAACAAAGATTTGCCTCACGGGAGAATGTCATCAGAATCAAACAAACCGGGGCTGCGTCACGCCAACTAACAGTAAGGTAACCCTCCTCGAAGCCTCGAAGTGGATGGATATGTTCTGTCTTGTTTCTGGGGGGCGTTCTTCCCCTTCGGGGACAAGAAAGCAGGAGAGTGGGGTATGACCCCTGAAGAGAGATCGGTGTATTGAATTCGAGCTCCTTTGTGCCGTTCGCTAGCATTTCCACAGCGTGATGAGTTGAGACACAAACAGGAGGACATATTGGGAACCCTCGTCGAACCAACCTGAACTGTTGAAAAAGGCCCGGCCAATCCAATTGTCCATGAAAAAGTGACATAGGGACCGAGCTCTGAACCCAGCGCAAGGATTACATTCCCTCCAACTAACCGTGGATGTTGATTTGTAGAGTAAGGATTGCCTTTGAATCCAGATAGATGGGTCACCTTCTTTTATGACAGTTGCCCAAAGGACCCAGAAAGAACAGGTTCACCTTTTGGGACCTTTACCAAGAATAGACCAACATGTGAAAGCAAAAAAGCTAAAAGGTCGATTCGCTTTGGGCGACTGAGATACTGAAAAGTCTAGGGGTACCTTCCCCATTCTTCCAGGGATCCTTCTCTCTAGAAAACCTCCGGAAACCCAGAAAAAAAGGATCCAGGTTTTGGAAAGAACGATGGTTGAAAAGAATAGCATGTTCCAGCCCCAACCCGCCACCCCTCTCGCAGTCGCCTTACCCTGGCCCAGCTCCTTGGCCGCGGCGGCGTCCGCGTCAAAGACGTCCGTGTTCAAGGTGCAGGTGCACAGCCGGGCGTCGCCCGCGAAGTACGGGATTCTGAAGAGGGGAGGGAGGGGAGGGGAGGGAAGAAAAGGGAAGGCTTCACCTTTGGCTGGGGCAAAAGGAAGGTAGTTGTGCAATCCCCTCCGGTTAGATTTCATGATTGTTGGAGGGAGGGTAGGCTCTAAATGGTTGGAACTATCCCAAGCCCAAACTAATGGTCATACTCACATGCTGCCAGGAATTTTCACGGAAAACCTCCAAAGAGGTTGGTGTACATCAATCCACCCACAGGTCAGTCCTTCCCTTTCCCTCCTCCCTCGTGCCATTCAAAGGAGTCTGACATTGTTGGACTGGTCTGGGGGCCAAAACATCCTCGCATAAGCTTTATACACACAGGTAAATGACCTCGAAGGATAAGTACTTCCAAACACCATCTGGCTTAAAACTCGAAAACCCTCAAAAACCGCTGGACATGGCCCTCATGCATCAGGGTCACAGTAATGTTTCAATCAGGATCCTCCCCGCTTGGACGTCAGCATCAGTCAATGATCCGTCGAGCGTGGCAGGTAGGTACTTCAAAAAGGACACCCAAGGGAACCTCATTTTAGGGCTCCCCCCCTTGATTTTGGGGGGAAGGGAACCTCATTTTAGGGCTCCCCCCCTTTGATTTTGGGGGGGAAGGGAACCTCATTTTAGGGCTCCGCCCGTTTGATTTTTTTTTGGGGGGGGAGGGACCTCATTTTAGGGCTCCCTCCCTGTGATTTTGGGGGGGAAGGGAGCCTCATTTTAGGGCTCCCCTCCTTTGATGTTGGTGGGAAAACCAAAATTGTAGGGCTCCCCCCGATTGATTTTGGGGGGCAAGGGAACATCATTTTAGGGCTCCCGCCCTTTGATTTTGGGGTCATTTTAGGGCTCCCCCCCTTTGATTTTGGGGCGGAAGGAAACCTCATTTTAGGGCTCCCCCCTTTGACTTTGGGGGGGAAGGAAAACCTCATTTTGGGACTTTTTGATTTTGGGGGGAAGGGAACCTCATTTTAGGGCTCCGCCCGTTTGATTTTTTTTGGGGGGGAGGGACCTCATTTTAGGGCTCCCCCCCTGTGATTTTGGGGGGGAAGGGAGCCTCATTTTAGGGCTCCCCTCCTTTGATGTTGGTGGGAAAACCAAAATTGTAGGGCTCCCCCCGATTGATTTTGGGGGGCAAGGGAACATCATTTTAGGGCTCCCGCCCTTTGATTTTGGGGTCATTTTAGGGCTCCCCCCCTTTGATTTTGGGGCGGAAGGAAACCTCATTTTAGGGCTCCCCCCTTTGACTTTGTGGGGGAAGGGAACCTCATTTTGGGACTTTTTGATTTTGGGGGGAAGGGAACCTCATTTTAGGGGGGAGGGGTGAATCATTCGAAAGAGAGCTCTGGCGGTCTCAGCCGAAGGCTCATCGAATCCTTGTAGGTGCGCAGCTTCAGAGGAACCTGACAGGATTGGCCCGAGGTGAAAAACCCATCGCGATCTTCGGGCGACTTACAGCTTGGTTGCTGTTGACCCCCCTGCAAAAAGCTTTTCACTTTTGGGGGGCTTTGTGGAAAACACCCAAAAAAGTAAAAGTCTAAAGATCCAACCCAGCAGGCGACTTCCGCAGGTCACTGGATGTCCACCTTTGAAGTTGCAACTTGCTGCTGGCTTCCATTGAAAAATCCGCTTTTGGAGGTTCCAAAGAGGGAAATGGAGGGAACCATGTCTGGTTTATCCTGACTCAGTCTGACTTTCCAATTGCCATGTGGTTGTAACTGGGGCTGGCATTAGTTCTGTCTGTTTTCATCGACTCCCACCAACGAACATTGAACCTGACAGGGGGGTCGAAAATGGTCTTCCGAACCCCCCCCCCCTGACCGGTTCCGTATGAATTGTTAGGAGAGTATAGAACTAGCAGCAAACAAAAAAGTAGAGTTTCAACAACCACATTTATAGTTCTCAACCTCTTTTTGGCTTCCCTTTTGGGGAGACTCTGATGGTTGAAGCCTCAACTTCCACCGCCCCCCCCCCCCCGCACCCACCTCCCCGGGCGCCTGGCCGATGGGGTAGGCTGAAACCAAAGGCAGCCGTGTCCAGGGGATGTCGTGCGGCAGGTCCACGCTGCGCCAAACCCAGCCTCGGAGAGCGGGAGAGCAAGGTGAAAATGGACGACAACCACCTGCCGCTGTTTCGGGGCGTGGTGAAAACGGGGTTCCCAGCATTCACTGGAAAATTCCCCAAAGCAACGGTTGATCAATTCAATTAAGCCGGGATTTCGGCTTCTTTCCCCGGGAGTCTCCGAAACCGGAACAAAAACAAGTCCCTCCATGCGATATTGGAAGCTGACAGGATGGTTCCACTTTCCATGATTGCTGGAAAGAGGTTAGATCAGGGGTCATTGAAATTCCTCAATTCAAATGTTGATCAATTTACCGGTGGTGTCCACGTCACTAAACCTGTCACTCTTGGAGGTTCCAAAAAGGAACAAACGAGGATGCGCCATGCCCCAATGAGCCAAGCAGTTGAATGGGTGTCCCAGAGGCAAAGCCTGGATCGATCCGGAGTCTCGGAGTGAACGGACCCATTCCTTCAGGTGCTCGGTTCCCTTGTGCTAGGTCCTCCAATAGAGAGGTAGAATAAGGGTACCAACTTTGTTCGGTTTTGTCTATTTCTGCAGGGAACCCTCCCCGAAAAAAAGGGGAGAGAAGGGCACTAATTACTCAAGGACCCAGTTTGGTCCTAATTACTAATTACTAACTACTCAAGGGAGAGAAGGCCCTGAGAAGCCATCCAACGGGGGGCCAAACATTTCCCAGATGCTCAGTGGCCGGTCAAAAAAAAGAAGAGCGCATTCTTTTTAGGTGGGTTGACTTTGAAGGGACACCCTTCCCAAGAAAAAAAGGAAGAAAGGGCACCAATGGGCAAGTGGGATTTTGAGCAACACCCAAGTGTCAACAAAAGACCCATGGAACGCCAGCTACGCCAGTGCCGGGAAGCTCCAGTAGCGCAGCAAACGCCAAACGACAAGCCGGGGGGTTTGACAACGTTCAGTTCGGGTCCGAAGGCTGATTGGGTCCTACGCGCCCACAACCATTTTAAGGACTTTGGCTGACTTCCTGTGGATGGTTGCAAAATCCATGTCGCATCAAACTGAAGCCATGGTTAAAACCATTGATTTGTTTGCAGGGGACTCTTCCTTCCAGGGTTTCGCAGGCGGTGCGAAGTGGATTTCGTCCATCCACACATGATTCGACATGTCGAGTCCTGCACCGCCATCTCCCCCACGTGCTGGAAACATCCAACCGCGGCAAAGGTCCCGAACGCCCCCAAGCAAGGATCCGTTGAGACCCCAACAGATGGGGTTCCTCTTGGTCTCCCTTTGAAACCACCCCCTCAGTTGCCCAAAGGAAATGGACACAACATGTTAACCTTTTGGAGCCTTGAGCAACATAGGTTCCAAAAAGGAAAAGCGAAAGGATCATTTCTGCCTTTCCTTTGGACAAGTGTGCTTGCAGAAGACTTCAACTTTGGCAATTTGGTATTTGGTTGTCTTGAAATGGGGGACCCCATGGTGAGTCGAAACTGAACCTTTTGCTGTGGGTAGAGCAAAAAGAAGGGAGACAAAGAAAGCGACGCCCGCCACTTAACCTGTGCAACCTTCCTTCGCAGTAAGTCGGAATGTCTTCTTGGCCAAAGCGGACCAGGGTGCATCTGAGTAATCGGGATCCCGCATCGCGCAGCATCCGGCCACGCTCTCATTGATGCTGCTGGCCGAGCCGGCTTGGGGTGACAAAATTTCAAATGACCCTGCAGGCTTCCCTGACAAGAGGGTACCGTGGCACTGCCATGGGGCTTCCCACGGGTTTGGCAGCCACCAAGGTTTTGGGTGCTGCTCTATTGGACTGATAGGCAAACAAGATGATTTGGCACCAAAAAAAAGACACACAGCATGTGCGGTCCAAAAAAGCTTGCAGCATTGGGAACTGGACCGGGCTTGTGTTTGCAGCCTTGGACTGGAGTTGCACGTGCGCTTCAAACAAGATGCTGCAGGACAAAAGGCGCTTAGCTGCCAAATTTGGTGACTTTCACCTTCCACTCCCTACAGCATCACCAGCGGCACACCTAGCTTTGCGCCCGCCATCTTGCCACCCTTCCCCCCAATTGGGCACAAACGCCAAGCAAGCCCCTTTGCAATAAACAAAGCATGTTTCACCTGGTGTCTTCCCACAGTTCCTTGGAGGAAGGACGCCTGCGTTTCACACACTCCCATTGAACATTGTGTTCAATGCCACGTGGCCCAAGAAGTAAATGTAGAAGGAGAGAGCGTGGTACAAGATCACCCTGCCCTCAGTGACTGGATTCGGAGTCTCCCCGTACTCATGAATCCGTTCAGCAGCTTAGCCAAACGAACCGCGGATCGAGACATGGATTGGAAGTTGGTTTCGCTTTTGCAGGCAATGACTTAGTTGCCGGGAGCGAAAGCAAGGTGCTTGATCATTGACTCCAGGGGACAAATGGGGGTGAGCCTTTTTAGAACTCCTTTTTGGGGTTGGTTTAAATGGAAACCAAGAGGAATCCAAGCATATTGGGGTTTGATGTTTTGAGGCCCCTCGCTCGGAGAGGCCCCCGAGAAAAAGCGAGGCGAATGCGAGACTTCGAAAGGAACTCCGACGACAAAAAGGGCATCGCCTTTTTATCGAGCCCCCCCAAAATGGTACCAACTCAAATTCAAGACGAGCCGCAGTTTTCCCCTTGATCGAAGCGTGTTTTTCTTAAGGGCCCGGTAAAAGCACAGCTTCACACATTCGATTGGCCAAAGCCTGCCTCTCAATAGGGGTGGACTTTTCGGAAACACCATCGAGGCCTTCCGTGAACCTTCGGATGGCATTCCACAGAAAGGTTCTCCTCTGTGGTTTTATTTTTCAGGGTTTGGCACATATGAAACATACTCTGAACATGTTAGCTTTCGTCACATCGTTGGGTATCAACGTCGTTGACATTCCGCTGAGCAGCGTTCTACACCAACATTTGACTGTAGCATTTGTGAGCAGCAGCTGCGTTTCACTGTCAAAAGGGCGCCTTGTGGTGCTTGCTCTCCTCCCGCTCCACAGCGTAGATCCCGTCAAGGATGGCTGCGTCCTGCGCACAAGGTGCAGGGTTTCTGCTGGCTTTCTGTTTGCCAAACTTGGGCCCCTCTTGTACTCAGCTGTTGGTGGCCGACAGCGGGATTGTAGTTAACAACGCCATGCCCATTGAATCCCTGGGACAAGCGTGTGACTAGCGGGACCCAAAAAGTGGTTGTCCTTTTGGTGTCCCTTTGCACCAAGATAGGAACAAAAACAGGCACCTGCAAAGAACCACGTGCCCGCTTTGACTTGGCTAGCTTTGAAGGGGCCATCACGTTGCAACTTTGAGAAGAAAAGCAGTTTTGATTAGCTGTGCCCGGCCAAACTCCAAGATCTCCATCTCTTTCCAAATATTCCCCAATCGATCCAGGCGAAGCTTTGGATGTCTTGCTGTGCTGTTGTTTTTCTGCCACCTGACGACCGCTTCTTGTTTGCATCGTCTTCTTCTTCAAGGCACGTGCGGCTTAGAAGGGCTCGCAAGCTTTCCCCTTTGAACACCGAAGACCGCCCTAGCTGGAGCCAAGCCGAGGTTTTTAGGGAGCCCAAGATAGAGCCCTTTGAGGTAGCTCTGAAGCGCCTAAAAAAATCCGAGAACTAAACCCTTTGGGCGCTATGACTAAACATTGACCAGCATGGACACCTGAAAAGGTCGCGGAGTCGCTTTGGTTGCAAGTGAGGTGACATCAGCCTGATACCCAAACGGCCCAGCCCAATCCCAGCTTCCCCTAGGTGGTTTGGACTTGGGATTGGTGGCGGGGCGGTCCCCATTTTGTCCTCCAATGCTAGTAGGCCGACTGACCATCGGGACCGCGCCGACTTTTTTGTGCCGGCTCGAGGCCCCGTCATGTGGGGTTAACTTCCCCCAACTCACTCTTCATTTGCGATCGCTGCGATGGTTATGACAACGAGTCCGGGTGTTGTCTGAATGAACCGTTTGGGGATTCCCGAATGAAGGAAACCAGAGCGGATGGCTTGTAGAAGGGCATTGCCTCCTTCCCTCCCCAGAACCATTCAAGTTGTCTTTCAACACCAGCGAAGTTGTACGGTTTTGGGCCATCTGGATCCCTGAATGGGGAGACTCAGGTGGAACCCTGCAACGATCCCTCCGCGTCCCTATCTGATCAACTGGTGACTTGGGGAAATTCAGTCGTGAGTTCTGGGCGTCACGCGTGAGCTCCTTTGACTGTGCACCTTGTTTGTTTGCTGCAGGCTTGCTTCGTTTTCCGAGGCTTGCCTAACACGAGCGGATGATCAATCTTTGGACCATGCTGCGGAAGATTGTCTTCCATGGGGCGTGAGCAGTGTGCAGCCCTTCTTGATTTGGGTCAAGGGTGGCCTGCTTCATTGTGAGTGGAGGATGGTCTTCCTTGAATTTCAGGATTTGCGGGTGCAAAATGTGACCTTTGTGAGGGTGACCTTTTTTTTTTCGATTGGGGGAGGGATGGCTATTCAGAGAAGGTAGAGCGACTGGAAATCGTTTTGGACAAGGGGTAGGCAATGACCGAGCCTTTAGCATCCTCACGTGAAATAGTCCATTTTTGTTCTACCCCTAAAATGGTCTTCCCCCCCAGACAAAGCAGAAAGTTCAGTAACTCAGCGAGTGAGCTACGTTTTCTTGAAACTCCCTACAGCGCCAAAAGGGAAATGCAGCCCAAGGGTGAATTTGGTTTTAAAAAAACAAAACACTTTATCGCCAGTGCATGGGTCCCACACTTTGTCTGGTTGGCTTTCAAAGGGAAGGCAGAAAGGAAGCAAAGCCATTGGGGGGCCCCCGATTTTGAGAGAACCCCGCATACAACTAGGTCCTCCAGATTTGAGAGGTTAGAATAAGGATCCCGATGTTTTTTGTTTTTTTTTGTGTGTGTGTTTTTTTTTGTAGTCCATTTTAGTAGGGGAACCCTCCCCCAAAAGGGGGAGAGAAGGGCACTACTGGGGGACCTAGACACGTATGTACTTCATGCTTTTGTGGGGCCGGGTGTTGGGTGGAAAGCATCTGACTGTTGACCCAAAATATTGACCAACCTCAGCTTGTTCATAGGGGGTGTCCTTTGGTGAAATGTGGGGAATCACCACGTTCTTCTTGTTTTGGGAGGTCCACCCTTTCACCGGTTTTGGTGCATTTGTCTTAGTGGGAGTTACCGTTTCTTCTATTTTTGCTCGTGTGAGTGTTTGTTTGTTTGATTGCTGTTTCTGGTTTCGTGGGGTCCTTTTGGTTAGGGGGTTCCACCCTTGAGCAGGGATCCTTACATTATACACCTAAACATTGCCTTGTAAATGGTGGCTTCCCCTTATTTTGGTGGAAAAAGCCAGGTTTCAAATGGGCAAAATGAAGATCTTTTAAGGAGCCGGGGTCTCAGGAACCCCCGCTTTCTTACAGGAATTGGGGCGTGTTCAATGCCCAGTTCCCACCTTGGCCCGGCACAAACAATATGAAAACCTCAGATTCTCCAGATTTTTCTGTAGACAATCATATAGCATAGTGTAAAACCAAGCGCGCACACGGCCTTTCCGGGCGTGATGATGTAATGCGCAGGTTGGCTCTTCAGTCTTCGCTCCGTTTTTGTCGGCCGCGTATCATTCTGCGCAGAGGCGGCCAGCGACCGGTTCAAGATAACTTCGCCGACGTTGGCAGGGGAGCAACAATTTAAATTTTAGCAGTTAAGTGGGGATTTCAACCACTAAACCACAATAATGAAACATGTAAAATGTTTCCCAACAACAACCATGAGAAGCCTGTTCTCCTCAACACAATTTCCGTACACGATGACTTTCGAAGCACAGATTTGGCGACCCTTCCGTCCTCCTCATCCAGCTCCTTCTCGCTCTCCTTATGCTCAGGGATTTTCAGGTACTGGTCCAGGGTCGCAGGCCAGGTCCTGAGGCCATGGCCGCGCAGGATCGGCTCCCCTCGAAGTTCCAGAGAGCTTGGAATAAGGGTACCAACTTTTTTCTTTGGTCTATTCTGGTAGGGGAACCCTCCCGCCAAAAAGGGGTAAAAGTGCGCTACTGGGGGACCTAGTTGTGGTTTGGAGCCCGGTGGTTCGGTGTTTTAAGGAGGAGTTGCCCACTTACCCTCCACAGAGGCCAGGGATTCACATCCCAAATCACCAATCCAAAACACCAACGAAGGGTTACCTGAAAAGAACCAGCCAACCGTGAATGTCATTGGGAAAAACAAATTAGTGATGTCCGAAGACTCTCTGAGGAAACCATGTCCAATTTGTGTTGTCTGGCATTTGAAGTATCAGCTTCCCTCAAAAAGGATTCTTTGGAGCACGGTGGTTTGGAGGTTTGGGGGTGGTTTCCCATTCAGCTAAGAAGGACCTGGTGTTCGAACCCCCAAATCTCCACTCCAAACCACTTACCTGAACTAAATGTAAGCAAAAACCAAAGGTGCTAAAGAATTGGGGGCCTGAGAGGGTCACCCCTCAATTTGGCGGGCAAGAGGCAACCACTGACAGGGGATAGTCTAAATGTGGTTGTTTACCTCTGCAAAACGGTCTCTGCAAGCATGACATGACATTCCAACAGGTGACTCCTTAGGTTGAAGCTCCAACAGGTGAGTCCTTAGGTTGGTGAAGCTGGAAACCCAGTTGATTAAGCAGTAGCTTGTGGCTGATTCATCGAACCATGTCCGATTTCAGAGGGAATCCTCCACTCCATGGAAAACAACCCAGTCACCCTCCCCCCCAGTTTGACACCAAACAACCCACCTCACACTGCCACCAAATTGATCCAATTAAAACGGACATGACAGATCGAACAGGATCATTCATCATCAGCTTGTCTTATGCAAATCACAACTTAGGCAGAACCATGTGCCCGAAAAATACCCGGACTAGTTTGACAGGCTCACCGTTCCCCTTCGCAACGCCAGTGGCGACTGCGCGCCTGCCAGAAACACTAACCGCCGCAAGGGGGATCAGCGACCATCGCATAGCGCAAAAGGGCGCTCGCCCGACGACGCTTTTCGTGGGTCAAATTACGCCGTGTTTAAAAGCTTGGTTTGCCACCCCTCGCCATGTTTGCTTTGGTTAAGCGGGAACCTGCTTGGCTGCCCACTGTTGCCGCTGGGGACCCTACCAAAAAGGGATTAACAAGGGATTAACAGGGTGCCATGAGCTGAACGGCTAGGCGTCTGGCATGGGTGGACCCAAGCATGCCGCGCGCAAGTCGAGCTCTGCCAAGCGTGGAATGCCCATCTGGAAACGTGTCAAGGTCTGGCAAAAACGGTCCCTGCACATCCGCGCGCACCGGTTTTCTTGTGGCAACTTACGAGAACGGGCTCGTTTGCACCCGATGATCCATCCAAATTCGTTTCCTTCAAAGTGGGCAGTGGCCCACTTTGGGGCCCGCAGCCGTCACTGGACACTTGAGCCACCCAAGGCGACGACCTCAAATGGCAGAACCTGACAAAGCAGAGTGCAAGACTCAGGGCCCAGATGCAGTCGAATGCTTGGATGGTTGGCGCAAAAAGAGCAGAGGCTCGGCCCACAAGTGCCAACGTGGTTTGGCCAAGCAGGCCCGAACAGTTTTATGTTCAGCGGAAAGGTTCTTCCCAAACGGTTTCAGGTTTAGGTCTTTAAGCGAGTGAGACAATTGAGAGCCCTCAACATGGGCAGCGTTCTTTGATTCCAATTGAAGAAACCAAAAGGGTGTGGCTCAAAATTAACGAGCTGGGGTTACGCGGGTATTAGCCTTTGCTTCCATTTCCCAAGGTGCCATTTTGGTACCACTTTTTGAGCCAAAAGGGTAAGAGCACCTAACAAGCAACGCCATGAACTGCAGCCTTCTCTTGTTTTCATGCAAGACGATGGGACTTATGTGTGTGTGTGTGTGTCTTTCTTTAATTACGGGGCCCCCAAATGTCTTTTGGTTCCGTGAGGCAACATCATAAAACGCCCCAAAGGCGCAAAAGCGTCTCAAGCAAAGCCACCTGCGCCCTCAAAATACAACAGCAAAGTGGGATACTGCCCCCCGAAACCTATGGGCTGGGGAAGTTCTGAGGCTCCAGGTCTCAGCATTGTTTTCTGGCTTTCTTCCCCCGCCTTCCTATGCGTTTTTCCCCCCAACAGCTGTTTCTCTGATCTCTGCACATAGCTCTGCGGTGGTTTGGGGCAGCTTTCAGGCAGGGTTCAAAGTGAGATTCGGCTCCAGGGTTTTTTTTGCTAAGGATATCACATGTGACCCCACATTCGCGTCCTTTTGGGTGGTATCCCAACCGACCCAGCCCATACTCCCCACCTGGCTGCGTCGGACTTTGTTCGGGGCGCCCGAATTTTCTCAGCATGGAATAAGGTAGGCCCCCAAAACCCACTTTGGTTTCTGCTGGGGTACTGATCGATAGTTGGAGTTGGATAGGCGTTCGATGAGGAAAAAAAAAAAGCAGTCGGGAGGTGACAAAATCTGGGAGCTCCAGCCCCAGAGGCTTCGGAGCCTGCAGAGAGGTGAAGTCCAACAAGTAGCGCAAGAGGTTCAGCTGGAACCGCTCCGAGCTCATGACCCCGAAGCCTTAAGACGAACATCGGAGTGCGGGGAGAAGGGGGGGGGGGGTGGTCCAAGGGGAAGCGCCACCTGCGCCTCCCTAAGGACGCCTAAGGAAACCGAACGAAACCTAAGGATCACCTAAGGATCACCTAAGAAACTCTACAAAACCCTAAGAAACCCGAAAGAAGCTCGCAACTACCCACCTCCCTTCTGTCTACCTACCCTCCATAGAAAACTCCATAAGCCTTTGCTCCGTCCATGTTTTGTGGGCCATCCTACAGGGCATGTGGACAAGTCGGCTGGTGTGCATACCCGGTTCCAAGGAAAGCCCTTCGAGGACCAAAAGCAAACATCCAAACCAACTAGGTCCTCCAGTAGAGGGGTTAGAATAAGGGTACCCTCTATTTTTGTCTATTTTAGTAGGGAACCCTCCTCCCAAAAAAGGGCAAAAGGGCCCTATTGGGGGACCTAGCCAAGAGGAGTCATAATCAACACCTAGTATATCCTAGTATGAAAATTGCCTCCGGAAGACCATGCCAAGAATTCAAAATGGCGCGATGGTGGCCTCATGTGGAAATCCAACACGGGGTCACCCCTCCGGGTTTCATGGTCTCATCTCGGGAGTGACAAGCAACTTCCGCGGCAAATCCGGAAATGTTCAAGCGGCTTAGTAGTAAGTAACCATGGAAAAGTGGACGGATCCCAGCTTCCCCACTGACCATCGTTTCAACCTACTTGCTAAGCAGCTTCAACCCCCAACTCCCTGCGAGTGTGTGCGTGTGGATTTAAAGTCGCCCCCTTTCACCTTGGTTTCAAAGGGAAGCCAAAAGGAACGCCAACACTTGGGCCCTATCTCGCGCTCTCTCTCCGAGGCGGGAAAGGGGGGGGGTCAAAAAACTGGTTTGCCATTTGGCCGACACCCCCAGATGTGACCTACCTAAAGGTTGGAAGGACACCGAGTGGAATTCCCGTGCATGACTGAAGCTGGGTGACTTTGTTGGCAAGCTGTGACACTCTGGCCGCACTATGGCCCCTTTGAAAAACCACATGTTTGCTAACGTCTCATCTTTTGTAGTGGATGGTCCAAAAGAAGAGCGAACATGTTGGCCACTAAAGCGGTCTTCCCAGAGCAAAAGTCCTGGAGCCGGGAAGTGAGACTTGGTCAATGCTCTCCCCTGAACCTCTTCAAATACTTTACACCAAACCGCTGGGCACCGATTTTTCTCCCCCAAGCCGACACTGCAAACGAGGGGCTGGGCTTGTGCGTGAGGATGTGCATGTCGTCCTACCAAGTCGGATTTGGCTCCCTGCTCAAACATCGCGCGCTGGATTCTGGTCGCATCTTAAGTTAAAAGTCGAAGATCTTCAAAACTGATCCCCGAAGTTGTCAGCGATTTTGGGCCAACCAGAGGGTAATCAATCACATACAATCACCATAAAATCGTGGCATCTGTGGAAAAGGCTTGGTCCTTGCGCCGGATCACTCTCTTGTCCGTCCGCTTCTTGCCCTCCTCCTCGCTGTCGTCCTGGCAGAAGTGTTCTTCGGGTGCCGCGGGAGTTGGTTCGCCAGGCGTGGGGACGGCGGATGGACCAAACTCCAGGGTCGCCATCCGATGGTCCTAAGGGAAGCCTCCGAAAAAAGGGGAGAGAAGGGCACTGGGGTAGCCATTCTTTCCACGCTTCGGACCAGTTGATAAAACATGTGAGGCAACCTCAGAGAGAGCAACATGTTGCCAATTCGTTGATCTACCCAGAAAGCGGCAGGTCAATTGAAGATCATTCGTCGCAAACGGCTCAAGGGAAACTTCAAAGAAAGGGAAGTCAAAGCGTAGCCGTCGAGGCACTGACGCCGGCTTAGGTCAGAAGCCAAAATCGCATTGGCAAGCGGCTACCTTATAGTTAACGTAACAACCAAAAGCCTGTGGTATCTATGGGTCTGTTATGGGTCTGTTTTGAGGGCACCCCATGTTTGTCAGTTTCGAGCAAGGCCAAAGGAAAACTTCTTTTTTTTTTGGGGGGGGGCATATGGTTGCTTGAGGTTTATGGAGAAAAAGGCCTTTGAAACTCTGCACCAAGGAAAAACCCGAGGAACACTTCCCCATTCAGAAAAGTCGGGCAATCCTTGCTATGTGTGTTAAGCATGTTTGCAGCTTCGATGCGCCAAGAAAACTGCCCCTTCTTGAAAATCGATGCCTTAGATACGAACCAAAGCTTCGATTTGGGTCGTTTTGGGTCTTTCTTGGAATTCCCGGGGGTGCAAATTTTGTCTCCCCCAACGGTGAAGAGGCCCAGGGGCGGAGTAGCAGCTGAGGGAGGATGCGGAGCCAGAACAAGTGCGACTTGTGTGCTGCGTCGACCTGGTTGCCAGGACTGGCTGAGTCCAATCAAGTCACCTGATATGTTTCGATTCTGGCCCACGTGGCCTGTCTGCAACCAAATGAACCGGGCGGCTACTGTTTGAAGGAAAGTAGTTTCCAATGCCAAAACTTGTTGAAGGTTTGTGGGACAGAATCAATCTTCCCCAAACGGCTAAAGGTTAAAGAGGCAACCGAACCCGAAGACTTATTGAACCTTGACATGTCCACAGGGCATTCAGCTTTTGTGGTTTGGATTGTGGTCTGGCGTTTCAGGGGTGGCTTTTGATTTAACCTCTACAAGAGCCAGGGAACAAAGGGTGCCTGAGCTAGTTTGGTTATGACTTCTTAATTAGGGACCCTTTGGTGGACATCATTTCGAGGATGTTCACCTATCACTTTTCAGGGGTTCAGAGCAGACGTCCCCCAAACGCCGCGTTTTGGAAAATCTGCGACGCCTCCTCAAGCTGAGCGGTGGTCACGCTGCTGTCCTGAGAACGCCCCACGCTTAGCTGGGCAGACTGAAACATTTCACCCGGGATGGGACCCGTATGCCCAGTTGCCCAAGGAAACAGAAACAAAAGTTTCAGCTTTACTAGAAATAAACCAAAGTGTAGAAAGCAAAAGTCAAAAGATCAGCTTTGGCAACTGAGTCGTACTATAGAACTTCCCTATGGGTGACGTCGTAGACCTTTCGAGTGAAGCTTCGAGCTGGGTGGCTGAGTGGTCTTTCCCCCCGTGCGTGCAGAATATGTATTGACCTCTGAAGGGAGAAGCCGGTGCCCCAACGCTTCTTTCCCCCCTGGCCCTTTGCAGAGAAAGGCAGCTCCCTGCTGGTGTAGGGGTTGATTCCAACCATTCTTTTCAGCCATCGTTCTTTTCAACAACCAGCCATTTCTCCAGGGTTTTTGTGGTTATTTAGAAAGAAGGTTCCCTGGAAAGAATGGGGAAGTTTCCCCTAGAGGTGTTGCTAAATACACCTAGCTCCCAGTTGAAGATTTGGCCGTTCAAGTGGTCGTCTCCTGCATCCGTTGCTCCACATGCCTAAGACCCGAAACAAAGAAGGGCCCATGCAGGTGCTGGCCAGCGTCCAGGGTCGGGAATGGTCAAAATAAGTGCGGCTCAAAATAGGT